AAATGTTAGTAAAATTACATAGATTTCAGGTGTACAATTCTGTAATACATCATCTATATATCACATTGTGTGTTCACCACCCAGAGTCAGTTCTTCCATCACCATATATTTGATCCCCTTTACGTTCATCTAAAGAATTTTTTTCTAAGTGGGATTTTAATAAGTTCTAAACATTATTTACAAATTAGTCGTTTTAATATTTTTTTTATTATTTTGACTCATCAGATTGATTACATTGAATATTAACATTTTCTTCATCATGGTTCTTTAAATTTTCTGAAATACTTTTATATTCTGTTTTTTATCATAATTTTAATCTTGTTCATTTTAAGAAGGTTTGATGAGAATGTAATTGAAATGTTGAGTTTATTAGATATTATTCAAAATGTAAAATAATTTAATTGAATATTCTTGAAATAGTCAATGGTTTCTATATTTATATTATTATAAAACAAAAATATAATAATTTCCTGAGAGTGAAAAAAAATTAATTATACTTATGGTTAACTTGAGAACTTAAAGCATGTAGTTTTTTTCTTGAAAAGTGCTTTAGTATTTTATTCTAGCCACTTAAATGTTTTAGCTTACTTTTTGGATGACTAACTTGTGCTTTTTTAAAAATTCAGCTGAATACATGGAACAACTTAGAAAAAAGGACAAATTACTAGATCAAGTCGATGATAGTCATGCTGGACCATCTACTTCCAAAGCAAAGAGCAAATCTCCACATAAAGAACGAGAAAACTTTAGAAGCACTCTTGTTAATGTCATCATGTAAGTTCTGTAAGCTAACCAGTGTGTGTTATCCTAGTCAGAGCCCCTGGGAACTTTTTATCTAAAAACATAAGAATTCTGTGCATCTCTAAGGATGCCCCAAAGCCTTGTTGGAAGGAGGTCAGTGTATGAATAATGAATGAAAGATTGCGTTTAACCCCATAAGCATGCCCCTTTTTTAAATATCATGAGCTGAAAAGAGACTAATGTTAATACTTGACGTTGGCTAAGAGAGCAAAATGTCTAGGAGTCTGGTGTTAGTGATGGCGGCTGGAGGGAGATGTGAGGCAGTTTTATTCTCCCATCTCATTGGCTCAGATGATGTGGTCGCTTCTCTGTGTTGAGGGTCTCCTTGTGTAGAACAGGAAGGAATTGGTGTGACGTGATCAGCGGTGTGAGCTGGGCCTGGGCTTGCCTGGTCTGAGTTTTAGATCTGTTGAGGGAGAGCAATGCAGATGTGTGTCACGGGTTCTCCTGTGCTCGCTTCCTCTGAGCTTCCTGCTAGTCGCTCAGTACCCTCTTTCTTTCCATTATGACTCCTAGGCTGCGCACACTGCCATTCGTGAACCAGTAGAATTTCATGGCATGTTGCAGTAAGTAACTCGCCCACAGAACCCTGTTTTACTGTTCCCCATGTGGCACTTTACTGGCTGGATGGTCGTCTTGAAGGGAGGACAGTGAGTACAATGTGCTTACAAAGGGAAGGGGGTTTTGTGGGAGTCCGTGCAACTGGATTATGAGCATGTGTCTCTGTAGAGTAGTTTGAAGTTTGCTTTGCCAGGCACCTTTAGGATATTACCAGCCTGACCCACTTATGTCACTTTCTCCGACTAAGCACTCTCAGGTCACTCAAACAGTGTAAAATCAACACTCAAAACCATGTGATGATTGGCCTCTGGTTACACATGTTTATGAACAACATTTTGTCTACCTACTTGCCTGGCTACTGTAGATGATCTTTCTTTACACAACTCCCTGTGCCTGTCACTACTGGTTCTCCTCTGGTTGAGGACAGAGCCCATCTTGGNTAAACTTGTAAGTAACTAAATTCCTGATTTTGAATTTTGTGTTCCATTTGATTGTTTTCTGATGGAGAAATTCTGAGATGCACATATTAAGAAAAACAACTATCTTAATAAAGTAACTATAAGCTATAATTTCCTATTTATGTAAAGAATATTTGAATATTCTGGTTAAAAGAATTTCTAAGATGGACTAGCAGAAGGTATAGGCTAAGTGTTGGAATTAGGAAATGAAGCCTCAGGTTACAGCGTTGTCACTGTGATCTGTGATCTGAGAGGGGTCACTTCTCTGAGCCTCAGTTTCTGAGTTTGAATATCAGTGGAGTTGATCAGATTATCATTGAGAAATATCTTCCAACAGTGAAATGCAATGCCAGAGAGGATTTCTCAGATCTTGCCATTCTTTTTTTATTGTTATGAATATAAATTGTCGTTGTTCTGTGGAAGAGTTAGTTAATAGACATTTTCAGTTGATACATGCTGGGTAAGATACACTTGACTATGTATCAGTTTTACCATCTAGTAATGTTGAGTTCAGTGTCATTAAGCTATGATCTTGTGACTACTGGAAGTGGAGCTTAAGTGGAGGTTTAATGCAAACATTATTATTTTTTCTTAATTGTGGTAAAATATACATAACTAAAATTTACCATTTTAACCATGTTCAATTGAACTGTAGTTCACTGGCATTAAATACATTCATATTGTTGTGCAACCATCACCACCATCCATCTTCAGAACTCTTCATTTTTCCAAACTGAAACTTGACCCATTAAAAACTAACTCCCCATTTCTTCCCCCGCCAGCTAATGGCAACCACCCTTCTACTTTCTGTCTCTGTGTATTTGACTATTCTGGATTCCTTATATAAATGGAATCATATATTATTTGTCCTTTTAAATCTGTCTTATTTCACTTAGCATAATGCTTTTAAGGTTCATCCAAAGCACTATTTTTTGAAAGATATTTTAACAACTGAGAACAAACTATACAATTGAATTTGTATTGCTTTGTATAGAAAATATGTCTGATAATTTAAAATGAAGGACGTTTTTCAATTAGAAACTTGAATTAATATTCTTAGATGAATTATAGTGGAC